CTGTACATACTGAAAAATGCAAATTCTCAGTACCTTTAAACAGAAGGCATGACATCGTGAGGCCTAGAAGCCCTAAACCTATTTACTTAATTCCACAAATGGAAACTAACCAAACTGCTCTCTTCAAAATAAGGACACCCTTATACCCATATTTCCCTTTCAAATAATGGTTTCCAAATAAATTTAATTGGTTTGTTTAGTAAAGTATCCACTTACCAATTCTCCTGTCAGTTCAACAGTGTGGTTTCCTTTAAAATTCACAGCATTCTTTTTGTTCCAAACTCTGGTACCTTTTACTTTCATTCAGTTTCTGATGTATCACCCAAAAACATTTTCTACACTACTATTCTACCAATGTCACGTAACCACAAGGCAACAATAAATACCTCCTTTTCAACTCCATCTTTCTTTTATCTGATCCAGTGAAAAAGCTGCAATATCCATACTAAATCAAACAATGATATATTTTTGTGTACTTGTTCAGAAAAAGAGCTGTCATTCAAAAATTTCCAGAATATTTCTAATATTCTTCTTTGAAGTTGGTTATTAACAGTTATTTTGTTTCAGCACGCCTTTGTCAGTCTATAGAACTGACACTCAAGAATGGTAACTTTAAAACTGCCAACAATATTCAAATGTTTAAGTAAATTATAGTAGTCATAAGATGAAATATTATAGTCATTAAAAATAATCAGATTATTCAAGTGACACCAAAAAATGTCCAAACAGAAGTACAGCAGGACTCAGTACAATTCTAAATTTGCTTAAAATAAAAAACACAAGGCAAATTATACATCGTATTCACACAAAAAAACTTTAGAAGAAAAACCTTCAAAATATCAACAGTGACTAACCCTGAATGATTATTTTCCCTTTTTATGCTTTCTATGGATTATACTTTTTCTATAATAGACACAATGCTTTTATAAAGAAGAAAATGATAAATGGGTATTTTCATAAAAGAACTATGGCCTATCAAAAGAAAGGGTACTAAAAGCCATCAAGAGTACTCATTTCAGTTACAGGTAGAAATTAAGGTGTACTGGGTACCAGTTAACACCCTATTAGGGTAATAAAATGCCTCACTGCTCTTAGAGCTTCCACTAAGAAGAATCAATTCAAGAAGGCCACCATCTAAGAGAAAGAATAAACAGAATTTTAACTGCTTTGGGTTATATACATCAAAATGAAAGGCTAAGTTCTATTTTTCCAATATAGAAATAATGGACATGAGCAATTTTAAATTGCTGCATAAATATGGAGGGAAGAAAGACCTGGAGTACAACATAAAAATTTGTTATTTGTTCAATAAGTGCAATTCTTAATAAATAAATTTGAATAAAACATATTAAAATGCCTATGTGACTATAAATTGTTTGAAGTGTTAATTTGCTTCTTCACAATATCTGGAAGAACCACAGATAGCAGATATATAACAAATGCAATTTAAATAAGTGTCTGTAACTCCCCACAGCATTCAAACACTTTCATATTTATTATCTCATATCTTTCATATAAAATATCTCATGATATCTCATACATATTGATAGCAATCAGAAAGCCATGTTTGATAATCGCTTTTGAACATAATTCATAATTTTAGGTAATAACATTTGGAGATAATAAAAATAATGATAATAAAAATAATAAAAATAATGTCTTTTTTATTTTTATTTATTTATTTGGAGATAGAGAGAAAAAGGGGGGTGGGGGCTTGGGGAGAGGGCAGAGGGAGAGGGAGAATGAGAATCTTAAGCAAGCTCCACGCCCAGTGTGGAGCCCGACATAGGGCTCGATCTTAGGACCCTGAGATCATGACTTGATCCGACATTAAGGGTTGGATGCTTAACCAACTGAACCACCCAGGCACCCCAAGAAGACTTTTTAAAAAATGAGTATATTTTAAAAAGTATAACAGTAAAAGGGACAAGATAGTACAAGTTTATCAGAAAATAGTAATCATTTTTCTACAACTAACTTATGTCAAAAAACAAAACCACTTATGTAGCCTTCATCTATATGTCATATAACACAGATTTTAAAAAATCCTAACAGGACATTAGCCTTTTATGTATCACTTATTCATTGAACCCTAACTTACTGAACAGAGACATGCAGCATGAAAAGGCAAAGGACAACCATGCTCAACAGTAAGAAAACAAACAACCCAATTAAAAAATGGACAAAAGATCTGAAAAGGCACTACACCAAAGAAGATATACAGATGGCAAACAAGCTTATGAAAAGATGTTCCACATCATATGTCATTAGGGAATAGGAAACTAAAACAACATTGAGACAGGACTACATACTTAATAGAATGGCTAAACTCCAAAAACTTGATAATACCAAATAGCAGCAAGGAAGTAGAAGAGGAACTTTCATTCATTGCTGTTGAGAATGCAAAATGCTACCTCCATTCTGGAAGACAGTCTGGCAATTTCCTACAAAGCTAAGCGTAGTCTTACCATGTGATCTAGCAATGGCACTCTAAGTTTACACCCAATTAGTTGAAAATTTACATCCACACAAAAACCTGAGCACAAATAGCAGCTTCATTCATAACTGCCAATAACTGGAAGCAACAAAAATGTCCTTCAAAAAGTAAATGGATAAAATGGCACATCCATACCATAGAGTAATATCCAGTGATAAAAAGAAATGAATTATCAAGCCACAAAAAGACATGGAAGGACCTTAAATGCATACTGCTTAGTGAAAAAAGCCAGTCTGAAAAAGCTACTTATTGTATAATTCCAATTATATGGTATTTGGGGAAAGGCAAAACTACAGGAGCAGAAAGAATGGTGGCTGCCAGGCTTGCCAGAATGAACAGGTAGAGCCCAGAGGATTTTTAGGGCAGTAAAACTGTTCTATATGATACCATAATGGTGGATACAGGACGTTATGCATTTGTCAAAACTCACAGAACTATACAATACTAAGAGTGAACAGTAAAGTGAACTATGGATTTTAATTAATAATAATGTATCAATATTAGTTCATCAACTGTAACAAGTACACTAACATTAATGTAAGATGTTAATAAAGGGAAACCAAAAGCTGGGGTAAGGGTGTATATGGGAACTCTGTACTATCTGTTCAATTTTCTGGAAACCTAAAACTATTCTAAAGAGACTTGTTCTACAATCTAAAAGACTGTTTTAAAAGATTAGTTGTTTGGGGAGAAGAATTTTTCATTACTGTCGTTGTTAAAGTATAGGATTCTGAGAAAAGACGGGAGGGCCTTGTAAATACTTAAGGGCAAGATTTCAAAAGGTTTTTGTATGTTGCACTAAGAACTTTATACTGAATCTTATGATGTATGGGGAGTCATTAAATGTGAGTGACATAATAAGATCCAGGTTTTAGAAAGATAACTCTTGGTAAGGACACTGTTTTAGAGTGTGAGACTTAAGAAATCCAGGAAAGCATTTAGGAAGCTATTACAATGTTAACAGTGATAGCAACAAAAATGATAATTTTTACTGTGTCCTTTTTATTACCAAGGACTTTGTGTGTATTATCTCAATTAAATCTTAGTAGGCCCTATTATCACTACACATTATAAATGAGAAAATAAGGTACAGTGAGATTAACCATCTCAAAGTTACATGAGCAAAGATGTGCAGATAAGGAGCATGGCTCCACAAGGGGCTATACATGTTTCAGAATTACAGTGGTTTGGGTGTCAAAGTTTGAACGACAAGAGATGTTGAAGGCTATAGCTAGATAAACACATTCTACATTATGATAACAAGGATTTCTTTTTGATTTATAAGGTACAAATACCATGTGCTTCTCCCATTTATATTTTTCTCCTCTATGAAAAACTCATTCAACATAATTTATTGAGTACCTAGTATGTGCCAGGTATTGTGGTAAGCTGTTTACACAGTAATAACCTAAACAGTCCTGATCATGTCATCATGGAGTTAAGAGTCAAAATTCATTTGCTCCCTTAAACTTTAATAGACAAAATCATCTGGGTCCAATCAAAAAGTACGTTCCAGTACACCACTTAGTATTCAGAAATATTCATTCATTCGCTTATTCCTTCCACAAACATTTAATAAGAATCTATTATGAACCAAGCACTGTTTGGGTTGTTAGTGAGACAACAGTGAATAACACAAAGCTCCTTGATTTCATGAAACTAACATTCTAGTGGGAGAGCAGGGAAGACAGTAAACAAATACATAATATAAATTCTGATAGTGATAAATGTTATTAAAAAAATTAAACAGGTAAAAAAAAAACCATAGTGTTAGCAATGGTATTTATTGATTAGGGTAGTTAGGAAGGGCCTGTATGAGGTGTGACCTTTGAGCAGAGTCCTACAGGAAGCAAAAAGCCCTAGTCAGGTATCAAGGAGAATGTTCCAGCCTCTGAGAAAAACAAATGTGTATGTACATCTGTAGTTTTAAAATATTTATGTTTCCACTGATTAAAAGCTTTTCCAGATAGAGCAGAGATTTTATGTCATATACCCTTTCATTTGTTCTGAAAGTATTTGCTTGGTCTACTCTATATAGGACACAATAAAAAAGCAATCATTGTAAGGAAAATGGAAGGTTTCAATCCCAGATAGCCTAAAACCTGAATATAAGTAGAGAGAAACATTACAGGAAGAATGCTATATTCTCTCTCCCCAATCCCTCCCTTACACAAGAGACAATCACAAGAGCATTTGGCTATTATTCATTCATGGTATCCAGAGAGGTGCCTGTTGATCTTTACTAGGTTTTTGAGGATGGTCTCAAATTCACTTTGTGTGGCATCTATCTTGATCCTCAATTTAAGAAATGTGCTCAGAAAAGTAGGAACCGAACGTGCCAGACCGAACCAGTGGGAATGTGATGGGTGCCTGAATTAGAGCCCCGGGGTCCTGGTTAGGAGACTGTGGCAAAGATGGTCAAAAAAAGCAGGCCAAGGAAAGGGAGCCTGCCAGGGGCAAGTGCTTCCTAATAGCACAATCTGGTCGTACCTCCGGATCTTACCTTCACTGAGATTCCGACCCGAAAGGTTTAACTGGCCGCTCTTCCTCGCTGCCTTTAACAGCCCCTGCGGTACTGAAGCACCGAAGTCTCTCCTCTCAGCTCTGAAACCCACTCGGGCATCCCGCTCCGCCACTCCCTTCAGGCGCGACATGTTCAAACCCTTTAGTCCAGAACCGGAGCTCGGCGCGTGACGTTTAAAGGTGGCGCCGGCAAGCTACCCCGCCCCTGCCGTGAGCGCGCGCTCCGTGCGCGGCGCTCGTGGCCTGGCGACGGGCCTTCGCTCTCCGCGGCGCGGCCCCGATGTCGTCACCGCCAGAGCCTGGGCTGGAGGGTAGAGGAGCCCTTCCCGTTGCCGGTGCCGGCCTTGTGTCTTGCAATTACTTCGCTCAAGTAAGTGCGTTTAACGGGCTGAAGAGGGGCTTTAAGGGTTTATTGTTTGTACTGTTCCTGCGACTCCAGCCTTCTCTCCTGTGCTCGCGCCTTGGCGGGGGTGTCAGGGAAGGATAACCTCTCTCCTCGCCTGGCCTGAACGTGGGCCTTGACTAAAACTTGAGACCTGGGCGCGGTCTGCAGCCTCTCTGGACCCTAGTGTGTGTTTGTCGTTTGTGGTGGTGGCGCAGGACCTTCGTCCGGCGTAACAAGTAAAACAGATTTCTGTTCTTCGCGCGTATACCCGGACTCCTAGAATTAGAGCACCTTGCCTGCTGTTGTGTTTAGTTTATGGTCCAGAATAGGAGGTGGTGTGAAATGGAAGGGCTGGCATCAGAGGAGAAAAAAGAAAGCTTAATGATAAATGTTCTCTCCACTGGACAGCGTACAGAGACAAGTGGAGACGCAAACTTTAGTGTAGCGAAAACAGCTTGGACTTTGAAGCCCAGGAGATGTGAGTTCGAATCCCAGCTGCTTCTGTATCTTACCAGCCGTGTAACTAACTAGGCAGTTTATTTGCCCGTTTTTAAAGCTTACTTCTTTTTAGTGAAATTAGGAATAATTCCTATCTCATTCGGTTTGTTTGTTTGTTTGTTTGTTTGTTTAAATAAGTGAAGATAGAGCTTTAACTATTGAGTGCTTGGTGAGGAAAGGGACTCCAGGATAGAAAATGAAAATTTTGTCCGATACGTCGGTTTTCCTGGGTAGTTAGTTTCTGTCTGAAATGTACACCTGTATTGATTCATTCGACAAATAATTAGGAATTCATCATCTTCAGTACTGTGCTGGGTGCTAGACTTTTCTTTTGCCCGAAGTGATTTTGTTTTAAAAGGCATATACCGGGAAATATCCTCCTAACCCTCTATTAACTTGGGGATCTGTAGGATGTTTGAAAGGTAGGATGACGGCCCACTGACAGATTCTGCAGCACAGAGTTTTGCCTGAGTGCAGGTTCTTGCTACCTGTAAAATTCGGTTTTTAACCCTCTCTCACTTTTACTTCTTGGTTCTTTAGAGTTCTTTACGCTAAAAGTGAATAGCAGAAAAGTACCAGTAGTTAAACTACCAAGCAAGAAGAGTGTTTTAGTGCAAGGACCCTAGTTTTTGCAAGGTCACTAATGAGCCTCCTCCCCACCCCAAGTTTATCTTGACAGTAATGATTATTTCCACCTTACTGAGGGGTAAGTGCCAGGCTCAAGTGCTAATAATACCTCCTTTGCTATCTCTTATTCAGCGCAATAACCAATTTTGCAGGTGAAGAAATTGAGGCTGAAAGGGATTAAGGAACTTGTTGAATGAAGGTCACAAGTTTTTGTAAGTGGTATAGCCAAGAATATGAACCTAAGTCTCTCTCCGAAGTCGTTCTTGTTAATCATTATGATTTGCCTAGTGGCTTTTATTTCATCATTTTCAACGACTTTATCCTAGAACCATTTTAAGGGACACTTCAATTATGTTTTAAAAAGAGGGTTTTGTCTTTTTTTTAATTAGGGAAAAAAACTTTTCCTCTTTTGTAGCATGTAACAGCCTACCTTTGGAGGATGAATTGCTCAAGTATTAAAGTTTACAGTAGCTACCACTGCCCCATCAAAGATGCCTTTTTTAGTTCAATATTTTTTAAAATAACAGCAAGGTATAATATTTTCATTTATTGTGCTTCTACTTGAAGTTAAATATTTCGTTATTGACGCTTAATTATAGTAAACATTGCTGCATTTTGTAAAAGAGAAGCATAATTCTGTTTAATGGCAAAGTAATTCTGAAAATCCAAGTGACCATATACTTGTGGTAAACTTCAATAGATATAAACTGACATATATAAAAAATTTTACTAGTATGTATCTGTAGTACACTGTGTATTATACCTGTGTAGCAAGTGCAGATTAAGCAACTTGAATTGAGCTTCTTTAATGAGAGAGTATAGGTATATATACTTATATTTGTGGGACTTAGCACTTTATATCAACTGTATTACTTTAGGAAGAATGCATTGCAGACAAAAAACCCAACCCTTTTTCAAGTTGAGCATTTCAGCAAAAGTATTTGCTTTAAAAAAAATGGATTTTCTAAATAACATGAAATGGATGTCTCCTGTGCAGGGGCTGGAGTCTACTGCATGGATACCTTTTGTATCAGAATTTGCCTAGCTACAATTTATTATATTCATTTTGTTAAAGTAATGAAAGGTTTCCCTTGTCTATCTTCTTTGCCAAATGAAGAAAGAAAGTGAAAAAAACAAAAAATATATGACCCTAAGAATTACGTCAGCCAAAAAATGCTGTTCTGTTTCATAACGGAAACTATTATCAAAGTAAGATAGAGTGGCTTACCTCTACCGTTACAGTTTAATAAGATTTTCAAACATGTCTGTGTTACTCTTATGAACATTGCTACATGTGAGATTTTTTTCAAAGCGGAAAAGTACAGTTAAGATGGATTTATATAGGCAAACTGAGAAACTGTAGTAAAGAAAAATGGTATTTGTGCAAAATTTTTAAGCACATTTGTTTTAAAAATGTTATCAACTAAGAGCAAAGTGAATTTGCTTTACAGACATTTCTAGGAAGTTTCTTTTTGTAAATTAACAGATTTAGATGTAGCCTATTTTGAATTAGTATTATGTTTATCTTTCAGAATATTGCCAAATCAGTGGGAACTACTGTTTTATGGTAAAGTTATTTATTGAGAGAACATTTCACTTTTTAACACTGTCATTATTGATTGGCATTTTTGAACCTAACATATATTGCTTATTAATTGTTTTTTGAGTTGAATTTTTTACATTCTCATATACTTACTATTCAAAGTTTTCTCTATGTTTGTCTCTCTATCAATAAATTGTTTTAAATGATTAAAATTGAGAAGAAAATTATGTGGGACAGGGGCTCTCCATGTTTTAAATATTCAACTTTTCAAGTGTTTGTTACACGTCTTTTAGTTTCCTTTAAAAATTCAGTTTGCAGTTTTCACATGTTTTCCATTCATGCTGTAACTACCAACTTTTAAAAGTAGTCAGTAGGGCGCCTGGGTGGCTCAGTTGTTAGGCGTCTGCCTTCGGCTCGGGTCATGATCCCGGGGTCCTGGGATCGAGCCCCGCGTTGGGCTCCCTGCTCTGCGGGAAGCCTGCTTCTTCCTCTCCCACTCCCCCTGCTTGTGTTCCCTCTCTTGCTGTGTCTCCGTCAAATAAATAAATAAAATCTTTAAAAAAAAAAATAAAAGTCAGTAGGAAATATTCCATACTATTTCGTTGAAGGCAGTACATACTTTGCATTTTTATTCATAGTTTCATATGTGGCTTTGAATTGTACTTTGTTGTTAGTGAGTTGTGTGTGATAAGTTTTTCTGATGGAGAGAATGCGTTTTATTTTAGAATAGTTATTTGCGTATGTTTTGTATGTTCTCTGTGCTTCTTTTACTTTTTTTTTTTTTTTTGAGATTTATTTATTTATTTGAGAGAGAGAGAGCACAATGGGGAGGGGCAGGGAGAGGGAGAGAGAATCTCGCGCAGACTGTGCACTGAGTGGGGAACCCAACTTGAGCTGGATCTCATGACCCTGAGATCATGACCTGAGCTGAAACCAAGAGTTCGAAGCTTAACCATTGGTGCCCCTCGTTTTTACTTTTGAGTCATAAAGCAGTGAGCTTGCTCTGGGTAGTTTAATATTTGATTCAAATGTTGGGTCTTACATTTTTCTGTGCTTTCAATACAAAAGAATTTCAGTCCACCAGTTTTGGGAAAATAATCATTTTCATTTTCCTCTTTTGAAAAGGCTTTTATGGGGTGCCTAGGTGGCACGGTCAGGTGAGCATCAAACTCTTGGTTTTGGCTCAGATCGTGATCTCAGGGTTGTGAGATGAAGCCCTGCGTGGGGCTCCATGTGGAGTCTGATTAAGACTCTCTCTCCCGGGTGCCAGGATGGCTCAGTCAGTTAAGTGTCTGCATTGGGCTTAGGTCATGGTCCCGGGGTCCTGGAATGGAGCCCCCGTGTCAGGCTCCAGGCTCCGTGGGGAACCTGCTTCTCCCTCTTCCTCTGCCCCTCCCCCCAGCTCACTCGCTCTCCCTGCTCTCTCTCTCAAATAAATAAAATCTTAAAAAAAAAAACCTCTCTTTCCCTCTCCCCCATAAAATAAATAAATAAATCTTTTTAAAAATAAAATAAAACAAAACAAAATAAAATAAAATGGCTTCTACATGCTAGTGTTTTTCCTCTGAAGAAAAAGTGGAGGAACTAGTTAAAAAACATATTTTTTGAACCCTAATTATTACTAGTTTTATTTTTTAGTTTATTTTCTTTCCATTGAAGAGAAAAAAACCTGAAATGGGTGGTTATAGAGCAGTCTTTTTATGTCATTAAATAAATGTTTATTGGCTTTTCTAAAATCAGCTGAGAATGTTTCCCATTATTCCCAGTGATTCCCACTCCAACCTTTAAAAGCTGTTTTCTTGCTCATTTTTCCAAGATTAATGTTTCTCTGACTGAAAATATTAATTTTATAGGGTTTTGGAATTTGCCTGCTTTAAAGTAGTAAAGTAATACAAGAGAAAAATAGGGCACCAAACCCTAGAATGTACTTCATAATATCATCATTGTCTTTGTGTTAATACATACAAAACCACTATCAAATAAATCTGTTTAAAGATTGGCTTTAATTAAATCCACTGTTTTAAAATTTGACTTTCTATCACTCCCTGCTGATAATTTTGTTCTATTGGATTTGGCTTACAACTTCATTTGCTCAATACCTCAAAAAGAGAGAAATCACATGA